AAAGAAACTGTTGACATTCCAAACAACAACAACAACAACAACAAAGCCTTTTCCCACTAAGTGGGGTCGGCTATATGAATCCTAGAACGCCATTGCGCTCGGTTTTGTGTCATGTCCTCCGTTAGATCCAAGTACTCTAAGTCTTTTCTTAGAGTCTCTTCCAAAGTTGTCCTAGGTCTTCCTCTACCCCTTCGGCCCTGAACCTCTGTCCCGTAGTCACATCTTCGAACCGGAGCGTCAGTCGGCCTTCTTTGCACATGTTCAAAATCACCGGAGCCGATTTTCTCTCATATTTCCTACAATTTCGGCTACTCCTACTTTACCTCGGATATCCTCATTCCCAATCTTATCCTTTCTCGTGTGCCCACACATCCCACGAAGCATCCTCATCTCCGCTACACCCATTTTGTGTACGTGTTGATGCTTCACCACCCAACATTCTGTGCCATACAACATCGCTAGCCTTATTGCCGTCCTATAAAATTTTCCCTTGAGCTTCGGTGGCCTACGACAGTCACACAACACGCCGGATGCACTCTTTCCATCCAGCTCGTATTCTATGGTTGAGATCTCCATCTAATTCTCCGTTCTCTTGCAAGATAGATCCTAGGTAGCGAAAACGATTGCTTTTTGTGATCTTCGCTAGATTGCTCCGGTCATTAGTGTGGATAAGTATATAAATGGATAGAGATAGGAAAGCAAACACAAGATGTACGTGGTTTCACCCAGATTGGCTACGTCCACGGAATAGAAGAGTTCTCATTAATTGTGAAGGGTTTACACAAGTACATAGGTTCAAGCTCTCATTTAATGAGTACAAGTGAATGATTTAGTACAAATGACATTAGGAAATATTGTGGGAGAATGATCTCGTAGTCACGAAACTTCTAAGTATCGGAGTGTGGTGTCGTCTTGACTTGCCTTATCTGTCTCATATAGGTAGATGTGGCATCTTCTCTGGAAGTACTCTTCCTCCATCCAGGGGTGGTATCTTTAACTGGTGGAGATGCACAAGGTAATGTATCAATTTCACTTGAAGCTTACTTGTAGTTTCAGGCTTGGTCAAGCGCGATACAAACCATGTAGTAGGAGTCCCCCAAGTCGCCGAGCTAGGGGGTCTGCTGAAAGAGGTGACAGACAAGGTAAGCAATCAGAGCTCCGACTGATTGTTCACCTTCCTCCCCATCTTGCAGCAGCATGAAGGATAAAGAGAAGAAAAAATGAGAAGAGATGATATGAGATACTTTTGCTTTTGAAGAAGTAACTTTCCACACAGGCTTATTCTTGAACTGAGCTGGAGGGTTTTTCTGGTTTCCTCCAGAGTATAAGGCCGACTGAAGAATTTGAGGGTCAAAACAAGTCCATCAAATCTAGAGTACGTTCCACCCTGCTGATATGGGATACTTTTGCTTTTGACAGAGTAATGAATGTATCGGCAAGTGTGCTGTTACGCTTGTCTCCACATGCTTCCTTGTATCCTTCGCACTTGCCCTATCTGTTCCTCAAGCAGATGCGGAATCTTCCCTGGAAACATAAGATGTTGAAGATGAGTACTCGAGAGCAATGCCAGGTAAGTAATCAGGTAAGGGGTTCCAGGCAGTCAGTTCCTGGCTGGAAGCTTGATTCCAAGTGCTGACTGATTGCTCTCTTTCTCCTTGTCTTGCAGGTAAAAAACAAGGCCAAAAGAAAAGACAGGGAAAAAGCATGATATGGGATACTCTTGCTTTTAACCCTGATGATATGAGATATTCTTGCTCTAGTATAGCTTGTTTGCAGAGGTATTATCGGGGGGAAAGAAAAGCTGAATATTTCGAAAGGCTTCGTTGGGAGTGCCCTCTCAGATATGATGAAGGGTTGAGCATTTTTGCAGGTCTGCCTGTCCGTTGGGGATGGAGGTCGACATATATAGGAGTCTCCCTAACAACAAGTAGTAATGCTATTCCTTTACCCTGCTTGGTCATAGCACAGTAGTGGGAGCTGCCAGTTTCACATGTTTTAACTCTGTCAGAGCACTTTGAAAAAGTGGTCTGTGGTATCTGGCTCTCGAGATTCGGAGAACGATGCCTCTTCGATTTTTGAGAAAGCAATCATGCTGGGGGTATGACTCTCGAGATTCGGAGAGCAGTGTCTCTTCGATTTTTGAGGAAGTAATCATGTTGGGAGTCTGGCTCTCGAGATTCGGAGGGCGGTGCCTCTTCGATTTTGGAGCAAGCAATCTTGTTGGGAGTGTTGTCTCGAATGTGAGTAAAGGTTGGGCATGTTTGCTAGTCTACCTTGCCACGAAGCACAAAGGTTGACACACAGGGACTTTCCAATTATCCAGCAATGGTACTGTTCCTTTACCCTCTCTTCGATTTTGAGAAAGTAGTCATGTTGGAGTCTGGCTCTCGAGATTCGGAGGACGGTGCCTCTTCGATTTTGGAGCAAGCAATCTTATTGGGAGTGTTTTCTCGAATGTGAGTAAAGGTTGGGCATGTTTGCTAGTCTACCTTGCCACGAAGCACAGAGGTTGACACACACAGGGACTTTCCAATTATCCAGCAGTGGTACTGTTCCTTTACAGTTGTGGGTAATAATATGGTAGCTAGACCTTCAAAATTTATGTGTCTAAACTTTTGTTAGTGCTGTTTCTTTGCTATTCTTTTACCTTTCTTGGTCAGAGCGATGTAGTGGGAGCTGCAAGCTTCACGTGCTCAACTTTGGCAGAGAACTTTGGCAAAGTTATTTGTGGTACCCATGAGCTATTGTTGCGTGTGGGAAGTGGGTGATTGAACAGTAAGATTCATGTGCTTTCTACTTCACCAGAAGTCTTCGACAGAATGCCCATAATTTCTGCAAAGCTGAGTGTGCGTGTGACAGGTGCTGACAAGGCTAGAAAAGTAGGTGCCCTCTTCGATTTCTGAGATCGGCCCTCGTGGTCTCTGAGCAGCCCAGCTTTTGAGAAAGCGAGCGCCTCTTCGATTGATTCGGATAACGATGCCTCATCGATTTTTGAGAAAGCAATCATGCTGGGGGTCTGGCTCTCGAGATTCGGGGAGCAGTGTCTCTTCGATTTTTGAGAAAGTAATCATGTTGGGAGTCTGGCTCTCGAGATTCGGAGGGCGGTGCCTCTTCGATTTTGGAGTAAGCAATCTTGTTGGGAGTGTTTTCTCGAATGTGAGTAAAGGTTGGGCATGTTTGCTAGTCTACCTTGCCACGAAGCACAGAGGTTGACACACAGGGACTTTTCCAATTATCCAGCAATGGTACTGTTCCTTTACCCTCTCTTCGATTTTTAAGAAAGTAGTCATGTTGGGAGTCTGGCTCTCGAGATTCGGAGGACGGTGCCTCTTCGATTTTGGAGCAAGCAATCTTATTGGGAGTGTTTTCTCGAATGTGAGTAAATGTTGGGCATGTTTGCTAGTCTACCTTGCCACGAAGAAGCACAGAGGTTGACACACAGGGACTTTCCAATTATCCAGCAGTGGTACTGTTCCTTTACCCTTGTGGGTAATAATATGGTAGCTAGACCTTCAAAATTTATGGGTCTAAACTTTGTTAGTGCTGTTTCTTTGCTATTCTTTTACCCTTCTTGGTCAGAGCGATGTAGTGGGAGCTGCAAGCTTCACGTGCTCAACTTTGGCAGAGAACTTTGGCAAAGTTATCTGTGGTACCCATGAGCTATTGTTGCGTGTGGGAAGTGGGTGATTGAACAGTAAGATTCATGTGTTTTCTACTTCCCCAGAAGTCTTTGACAGAATGCCCATAATTTCCGCAAAACTGAGTGTGCGTGTGACAGGTGCTGACAAGGCTGGAAAAGGCTGGAAAAGTAGGTGCCTCTTCGATTTCTGAGATCGGCCCTCGTGGTCTCTGGGGAGCCCAGCTTTTGAGAAAGCGAGCGCCTCTTCGATTTTTGAGATCGGCCTTCGTGGTCTTTGAGCAGCCCAACTTTTGAGAAAGCAAACACCTCTTCGATTTCTGCTGAGATCAACCCTCGTGATCTCTAAGCAGCCCAGCTTTTGAGAAAGCAAACGCCTCTTCGATTTCTGAGCAGGCGCCTCTTCGATTTCTGAAGCTTTCGTCGAGTGCAGATTTTTATAGGGGCTGGCATTAAGTTCCAAAGCACACTTGAATCTCCACCAGTAGAAGCTTCATTCTTGCACTTCTAAGATCTTGATTTGTCCGACCTCTTCTCTCTTCAACACCTTTGAAAATGTCTGGCCCCTCCGACCGTCGTTTTGACTTGAACCTTGTTGAAGAGGCAGCCCCGCCTTCTCCAGACAACATATGGCGCCCATCCCTTCGTCTCCCCTACTGGTCCTCTTACCGTTGGGGATTCCGTGATGAAGAATGATATGACCGCTGCGGTGGTGGCCAGGAACCTTCTCACTCCCAAAGATAACAGACTACTTTCCAAACGGTCTGATGAGTTAGCTGTTAAGGATTCGCTGGCTCTCAGTGTTCAGTGTGCAGGTTCTGTGTCTAATATGGCCAAAACGCCTATTTGCTCGAACCCGCCAAGTTGAATCATTGGCGGCTGAAGTGATGAGTCTCAAACAGGAGATTAGAGGGGCTCAAGCATGAGAATAAACAGTTGCACCGGCTCGCACATGACTATGCTACAAAACATGAAGAGGAAGCTTGACCAGATGAAGGAAACTGATGGTCAGGTTTTACTTGATCATCAGAGATTTGTGGGTTTGTTCCAAAGGCATTTATTGCCTTCGTCTTCTGGGGCTGTATCGCGTAATGAAGCTCCAAATGATCAACCTCTGATGCCTCCTCCTTCTAGGGTTCTGTCCAGTACTGAGGCTCCAAATGATCCCCCTCCGGTGCCTTCTCTTTCTGGGGCTCTACCGACTGCTGAGACTTCTCCAAAGCAACCTTTGTGAAGGCTCCCTCTTGTGTGCTTATTTTGACTCATGTATATGTACATATTTGTAGCTTATCGGGGATATCAATAAAAAAAAAATAAAAAAGAGAACTCTCGAACTTTATCACTGCATGCTTACATCCAAAAATAGCCAATATTTTGGAACTAATTAGTAATTAGTTAACTAATTAACCACAAGCTTAACAGAAAAGTTGCAATAATTCTTACAACAATTGAATCAACCCCAAAACTCCGTTGTGTCTTCTCTACCATCTCTTTCTCTCTATTTTCAGACAATTAGGGTTGGAATTAAGCCAGACTCTCTTCATCCCTGTCTTCAGTTTTGTTTGTAACTTACAGCACAAGTAACACCTTAACCGAAAAACGAAACAACCCAAGTTATATAGAAATGGCGGATTTTCTTCGGTCAAATTCAATCAAGCGTCATTTGCTTGCAAAACCAACATCAGAGTCGGTGACGACGGTCTCTCCACGGCCCTTAGTCGCAAACATCTCAGTTAATCCGGATTCGAACATAACCATGAGCATCACAAGCCCTCCTTCCACGAAGCACTCATCGCCGACGAAGCCAGGGCCAAAGGTCCCTTCACTTTCAATCTTGTTCTCCAAAAGAAAATCCATGGCCTTCACTTATGTATTCACGTTTGCCTTCATTGCCTGCACTTTCTTTTTGGTTTTCAACCCGTCACGCCAAATGGCCCTCTTCCTCTTCGTTTCAAGAACCTCCTCCATGCCTCCTTCTACTCCTCTTCTCAAAACCCTAATGCACACCTGGAGCTTTCCCGGAGAGACCCCTTTTCTGGAAAACCGAATTTTTCGCCGCGGTTTGATGAGAATGCAAGGTTGAAGGATGATAAGGTGGATAATCAAGAGATTGGTTTCTCTCAACTTCCGGAGAAAAACGAAAGCTTGAAGAGAGATAACAATGCTCAGTCATCCAACCCCATTCTTTCATCGTCCAATAACACAGAAATCGAAGTTTCTGGGAAAATGGAGGGTTCCAAGGGAAGAAACGAGACCAAGAAGCACACACATTCACATTCTTCTTCTTCGAAAGATTCAAATGGCAAACGTGGCTCGAAGAAGAAAAGTGATCATAAAAAGGTGTCATCTAAGAAGCAAGGGAAACAGAGTGAGTTGAAGTCCAAGCTGATGAATGGCTGTGACATATTTGATGGAAGATGGGTGAGAGATAACTCATACCCGCTTTATGCTCCAGGGTCTTGTCCTTGGATCGATGAGCCTTTCGATTGTTTTCTAAATGGAAGGCCGGACAATGGCTACGAGAGGTATAGATGGCAACCAAAACGTTGCAATATCCCAAGGTAATTAATTTGCAGGACTTTTTTACTTGACAATTTGAGTATGCTTGTTCATACTATGTTTTATTTTGCTTTTACTTCTAACCCAAGGCAACCTCTAAGAATCTTTTTGACTTCATGTTGCTCTAAAGTTCAAACTGATTTTCATATTGGCGTACATTTTTATCGTATTCGCTATATTGGTTCTGTTAATAAAGCTTGTTGGTTTTGGTGTTGTGCAGGTTGAATGGTAAGAAGATGTTGAGATTGTTGACAGGGAAGCGTCTAGTTTTTGTTGGCGATTCTCTCAACAGGAATATGTGGGAGTCTTTGCTATGTATTCTTAGGAACTCAGTGGATAATAAGAACAAAGTTTATGAAGTTTCTGGTAGGCAAGAATTTCGCACAGAAGGCTCTTACTCTTTTATTTTCGAGGTATGTTGATTTCGATTTCATAGCCTTATAAATTCTTCCTCCTTACCTTTTGGCTTTGTTGGTCCAAAGTAACATTAATGTAATTGTTCTTGTATGGATCAATAGGAGTATAATTGTTCCGTGGAGTTCTTTCAATCCCGGTTCCTAGTTCAAGAATGGGAGATGCCAGAACCAAGTGGATCAAAGAAGGAAACGCTTCGCATTGATTTGATTGAGAGATCATCCAACAACTACAAAAATGCAGATGTTCTCATCTTCAACACAGGTCACTGGTGGACTCATGAGAAAACTTTAAGCGGGTAAGTTCAGTGCTCCGTTTCACTCTATGTCATGGATTTTCAGAAACTTGGCACCAAAGTTAATATGTATAATAATCTTGCAGGAAGGGTTACTATCAAGAGGGTTCCCATATCTACGGTGAATTGGATGTTGATGATGCATTTCGCAAAGCTTTATCGACATGGGCTAGATGGATTGACACCAATGTAAATCCTAAGAAAACCGCTGTTTTCTTCCGGGGCTATTCACCTTCTCACTTTAGGTACATTTTGGACACATAAAATACTTCAACTTGGCTAACAAATGTATTGCATCTTGCTAATCTTTTTACCCTTTTAACAGAGGTGGAGAATGGAATTCTGGAGGGCATTGCCATGGTGAAACTAAGCCAACTACAAGCTTGGAATCCACGGAATATGGAGGAGAATATCCAACGAACATGAAGATCCTAGACTCGGTACTCAAGGGGATGAAGACGCCAGTCAACTATCTGAACATTACAACAATGACTGATTTTCGGAAGGATGCTCATCCATCGATTTACAGAAAGCCGAATTTAACTGAGGAGGAGCGAAAACCGCCTATGATCCAGGATTGCAGTCACTGGTGCCTCCCTGGCGTTCCTGATACATGGAACGAGCTTATATATGCTCAACTCCTCAAACGTAACCAGAAACAACATAGAGAGAAGAAACAGAAAAACCAGAGGACAACTTCTTAGAACTGGAGAAAAAAATAATGTAGTATACGTTTTTTTTTTTTGTTGGAAAGCTCACCATATGGAGAATATCGAACAGGTATTCTTGATTGTATAGATAGAAACGAAGGATAAGGCAAAAGTTGTAGTTAGGCAAAGAGGTGGGGCAATGTGCTTTAGTGATCAATTGTGTTTTCAGATAGAGCTGGTGAGAGAAACAGGATTTAGCCCTTATGGCATCTCTGGGGGAATTGAAGGAGAAGCTTGGAAAAATGGTGACCCGAAACAGTGAGTGCTGGTGATCTTGGTGGTCGCAGAAGCTGGTTTTGGTGCTGATAAGGTCATGATTATAAAATGCCAGTCTAATACCGGTTTAACGCCACAATGTGCAGTTGTGGTTGCAATTATAAGGGCCTTAAAATGCCTGTAAGACTGAGAATATGTCTCTGGTTGAAGCTGGTTGTGCGAATTTGGCCAGGCGAAATTCAAACACGAAAGCCTATGGTGTGAATGTCATTACTGTGATCAGGTTTTGGAGTGATTGTGAAGCAGAACAAAATGCAGTTAGAAATGCAGCACTGGCAGCTGGGGCATATGAGCAGTTTATGCACTCATCATGCACATTGTGGAAAAAGAGCGGCTAGTCACTTCATCCCATTCGTCTTATAATTGGCGAAAGGAATTTGGGCGTCAGTTTCTTGTGTCCGAAAAAATGATTCATCGAAATAATGAGTCACAAGTGATCATCGACAAATTTGAGATCGCCAAACTTTTAATCCCAGTTTTATACCGTGGTTGGAACAGCAAGCACAATGTCTGATGCATTTGGCTATCGGTCTTGCTTGAAGGTCGATGCATTTGGCTCTCCATATGCTCACTGCGGCAACATTTTCCGAAGTTCATTGAACGAAAGTCGGCCACCATCTCTTCCCCTTACAATTTACAGTTCTGAAAAAAACTTTTAAGGTCACTTTTTAAGCTTGTAATATACAATGCTGTAAATTTTTTACAACATTATAATTTCCTCCTTCAAGCATTGACTCCACTCTGCAATCCTTGCCAATTTTATACCACTTTGATTTTGTTTTCTTATCATTCTTGGCCGTTCATGATTTCATTTTAACAAAGTAACATTTAATTGATAATACTCGAATCATAAAAATATATATAATGTTAGAACATTTATCCTTGTATGCTAATGAAAGAAAAAATATATAACTTTTGGATTTGACGGTCACATGGACGTGTGGTGTTTTTGGTCTACACGTCAGTGACATAGCCACACTCTTAGAGAACAAGGGGCTTTCTACACGATGAAGGGGAGGAGAAAAAGTGGGCTGGGCAAGCAGTTATAGAGTAAAATGATTAATTCATATTTTATGATACGAATGTGTGATAAGATTATTAATATATGTTATAAAATGAAAGGATTTGTAAAATCACGCAATGATACATTGGTCATATTGAAAAATTACTCGTGAGAGACAGTTGTGAGATTTTCCTCTTACAAAAACAAGAAAACTAAAACTAAAAATATGCCACTTGCCCATATGTAATTACATCTGCATGCTTTACTGGCAACTTACAAGACTCGAAGATGCGATCGACCATACACAAGCTCAACGTCCGTTGGGAAGGAGTGTCCTTTTAAAGCAACCAAGAATTCTAGTAACCTACTCTCATAAAGAATTCTAGTATGCTAGTAACCTCCACATGGTAAAATGTAGAAATCAAACTATTAATTATGTAAATTGGAACTTTCATAACCCTCAACGTAGATAGGCTTAAATAAATTATCAGTTAAACTTCAAATAAAACAAAACCAAAATGAAAATCCAAATTAAAAGAATTAGAAACCTTTCAAATTACAACAACTATATATAGCAACCTCCCAGTTTCATTATCCTAAAACCCTTCTGGAGATAAAGGGGGCTTAATTTGTCTCCTTTCCTCTACCTGATTTTGCATCCTTCTTGTATACGTTCGACACCACCTCTGATTGTTTTCTATTTGTTTCCTGTTCTTGGATTTCCTTCCCTTTGGAAGTTTAATGAATCTTCACCATGAGCAAAAGGAAAAATTAATCATCATGCATTCCTTTTCAAGTGCAGCAGCAATATTTGTTCTTGTTACTACTAGTGTTAGCAAAATGGTTAGGAAATCCACTCAACTAAGCTCAACTTTCTATGACATGCCCAAACGTGACAAGCATTATTTGAGGTGTGGTGGAGCAAGCTTAACATAATGATACTCGGGTTGGTGCCAAACTTATCAGGTAACGCGTCGGGTCATATTACCCATTTACTTTAACGGGTGTTACACGATATGACCCGTTAAGATATCGGGTATGTCACGAAAACAACACGAACACGGAAAACACGACACAGATTCCAGGTTTACATTTTACATTAAAAAATTGTACATTTTACTACAATATATATATATATATATAATTGGTGCATTGCACATTTTAATAACATTAAATATTGTTACATTTTACATAAAAAAATTGGTGCGTTGGTACATTCATAAAAAAGAAAAAAAATTAGCGCATTGTATTGTGTATTGTACATTGTACATTTTACATAAAATACTAGTACATTTTACGTAAAAAAATTGGTAGATTGATATATTGAACATTGTACATTGGTACCTTCATAAAAAATCCATACATTGTATTGTATATTTGTACATTATACATTGGTATATTATACATTTTACATAAAAAATTGGTAGCAGTCCCTAACTACGAGTGTTCTTTGACTGAAATCTTATTGATTTTCAGTTTTTTTTTAACGAGGCCCTTGACATTTATTCTGATGAGATTAAATAAAACAATGATTTGTAGGATTGAAAATATTAATAGATAACACACACACACACATTAAATGACTTTTGGTTAAAATTCAAAGTTTTGAAGCCATTTTTGTTAGTTTTTATTAAGATTAATTGCTAATCTGAGTATAATGTAGGTTGTGCTTTATTTAATTAATTACATATAATTTTAACATGTGGATGAACAAGAAGTTGACGTTTTAGGGTATAATTCTAATAATCTTAACAGACATCATTACACCATGATCTATCATTTGTTTTATCTAACAAATATATGTAGCATGGTAAACTTGATCATGAGGTAATATAATGGCATGGTGCCAGAAAATAATATAAGTATGACTTCTTTTTTTATTGTATATCAACCTTTGACAACATGGACAAACAGAAGAGAACTGCGAGGAAAAGAAATTGGCTGCATATAAAATGACAAAATACTTAAACCTCATGCTATTAGACTACCGTTATTTAGGGCACATATATAACCCTAATCATTTTTTTTTTCAAATACTAATGAATAATTTTCAATTAATTAACCCTTCTGCAATTGGTCCTAATCTCTCCATTGGTGCCTGTCAAAACTCCTATATTCCCCATATTGATCATGGACTGACCAAAGCTATCAAAAAAGTCACTTTGGCTATTTGCAAAGCGGTTCACAATCGCAACGGTGTCTCCGCTAGTTGAGAACAGCACCTGATCGGTCTGGAGAAGCCCACGGTTGTTTTGGAGATTTGTAAAGTAGTTGTTGTCAAAGGCATCGCGGGTGGATTGGTCAAGGTCGTTCAATGTATCTCCGTTGCCGTTTTGAGGACATGTTTGGCGGAGGGTTTCCAAGTATCCGGCTTCTATGGTCGGGTCCGGGTTGCCGGTGCCGCTGAAATTGTAGAGGCGGTGAACGAAAGTTGAACATCTTGCCCGGCCAAATGTATGAGCACCTAAGATAAAGGAAACAACCACATTTAAATTTTTAAAAATAATTAGAGGTTGACTTATTATTACGTGGTGTATTGCTAGCTTAATCTGGTGATTAATTGTACTATTATTCTGGTCAATTGTGTGTATATATACGGTTACCTGATAAAGCAACCAGATCAGTGGAATCTAATCCTGCATCGCGAAATTTTTGTGAAAGTTGATCAAGGCTTTCGTTAAAGCCTGGAATGGCAGTGGTACCAGCTCGGTTGGCTGTCCTACTGTCTCTTCTTCCCAATTGAACTTCCCACGTCGGCCCTCCATTCTGCATATATATACCAATACAAATATTACATGAAGAACTTTTTGAACAACAGTATATGAGGCACTGCTTAAAATATATATGCTCCAAATTTCCAAGAATTGTTCATTAATTAGATTATCTCTTCACCGACATTCGCATTCTTTTTTATTGTCTTTGGGGCTGGTTCTCAGATGGATTGATCATTTCCCAATTAATTAAACTAATTAGGACTTTTAATATGTACGTACCTCAGAAACAAGAATTTGAGAAGCAATTGCTAAAATGTCAGAACAGGAGACAACACCAGGGCAAACATTCTCGAGAGCAGTTTTGATATCATCTACGACGTCGTATCCTTCTGTCGATAGATTGGGACCTGCATCTTTCTCGCTATCTATTCCATCTGCGTTGTCTAGCATAATCGATCCATCACAACCCTGCATGCATGCACCGTTAGCCATTAAATTAAACTTATTTAGTATTGCACATAAAAACACAGTTCTTCCTTTGACAGAGCATCCATCTGTTCATTATTAACAGACGGATTCTCGATGTATTATTGGTCAATAACATATCAACAGAAAAACTTTTTTACGTTTTAGCAATGTATCATCCGTATTATCAAATACAAAATCCGTCATTTAGCAAAGACGGACGCTCATGCACGTAGAGCTTTATGTAATATATATCTCATTATATATTACCTGATGATATTTTTTGAACAAATATTACCTAATGATACTTAAGAATAACCAATAATATATTCCTTAATGAATTACATACATTGACGAAGCAGTCGTGGAAATGCACCCGGATGAGTTTGGCACCAATCCGGATGTCATTCTGTTGAGCTTGCTCGACCACACCGCGAACAATGCTCGTCACATTCGGGCATGTGGTACTGTAGAAGGTTGAGCTTAGTTGAGCGTTAACATTTCCCAACACACTAGTAATAACAAGAACAAATATTGCTCCTGCAATTGAAAATGAAGACATGATGATTAATTAGGAAACTGAAAATTGAGAGGTTGCTAGCTATAGATAGTAGTTCTTAGGGTGGGAGATGAGATGGGTTCTATATGAGGCTAATACTACCCTTTTATAGAGAGAGTAATAGGTGAGATTTCAGTGCAGCGATAGGCATTTTGCGCATGCATGCTTTAAGCAAATGACCAGACAGATCGTTCTTTGAATATTCATGCGTGGAAATTTTCAGATAATTAAGCTGATGTGGGCCTATTAGGAGGAACGTTTCTAAGTATCCTTTTAAGTTGAAGAATTTTCAAACTTTTCGGTGGAGAGCGCAATTATGTTAATCAAATTTTGTATATATTTCAACGGTCCAAGGGCCATATATAGTAATTATATTGAGGACTTGATGTAGTAATAATTTCACCAGGAAAAGAATTGGTCCAGGGAATGAAAATGAATAATGGAATCATGAGGCAATGATTGTCATTCGATCGGTGAATACACCAACTGCTTAATTTATATTGTTTGGTATACTTCTTTTTCTCTGTGTAAAAAAGTTATCACAGTTTGATTAAGAGACTTTTCTAAAGTTCAAAAATGCCGTACTTCATTTCACTGTGTACTGGTTATTTTCTCAAATCTATAATTTGCAGATTTTTTTTCCATATATTTAGGGTATGTATGCATAGCATAAATGTAATGAGGTTTACCAAATTCTTCCAGGCATTGCGTACATAAACGTTGACAAAGAATTAGTCATTAAATTGGAAGATTAATAAGATTAGTTTTCTTCATATCTAGTCCCTTCAAAATAAAAAAAATCATTTACGTTTAACTTAAATATGCAGTAAATTTTATGAGGTACCCAATCCATATACCATCTATTTCAATTCTAGTCACCTATCGAGATCAATATAGTTGATGTATTTCATACAACATGAAGTAGTGAGACTTCTTCTAATTGGATATGTAGGGAGTAGGAAACATACGTATGATGAAGTCTAGCATTCTAGAAATTTTGTATATTGA